TGGACCCTGGAATGAAGGAGCTCAGTGGGTTTCTCCAGTCTCCCCTCTGCAAACTACAGACATTGAGGTCAGATGTACTATATTTGTTTATTCTAATAACATTACAGTGCAAATCTCAGTGTGAAGGTCAATCAGTGAGCTAGTAAAGGATCAACAGGCTGCTCTTTCAGAAGATGCTGCATGAACACATGTCCAACAACTTTGAATAAAGTGAAAAGGGGAGAATTATCAGCCAAATTGTTAAATCAGTTGTTTTTTTATGCAGATGAATCACCAAATGCAGACAGATTTATTGAGTCTCTGCTGTGATACTGTGATGAAGATTTTGGTAAAGTGCTGACACAGCATCTGGGCTTCAGAAAGGTCAATATTTCAGATGCAGTAACTGTCACACTTTGAATAAAATGAATATAAACTTACACAGAAAAATATTATAGGCTTTCATTTTTTTTATAAAGATATAAACCATTAAAATAGCTGAAAAGGATTACTTTGAACGTGTTAACCTTAAGATCATCCTATGGATAAATATGGTACTGTATAAAATAATAAAAAGATCAATAACCCCAAATCATTAGAACTTCCATTGACTTGGATAGACATAAAAGTCAGAACTGAATGAAAGGATGAGGTTGTGTTGGGCCTCTTATGTTCATAGGATTGATTTCTACTGAATGAGGCAGTGAGCCAGTGGAGTTAATGAACAGCTGGGAAGTAGATGATGGAATGATTTGGCCATTTTGGGCCCCAGGTAAACTTTGTTTAGAGGCCCTCCTCTTAGTCAGTGGTTCTCAACCTTTTTGAGTCACGACCGCCTCCAATATCTGATTAATATACTTATATGTTGTAAATAAATAATTGTTCTCACAATGGAGAAATTAACTCTCTGCATGTAACCAATCCCCTTGGGGAGCAGTGGGATGCCATCATGGGTTGCCCAGGGAGCAATCAGGGGTTAAGGGTCTTTGCTCAGGGACCCAGAGTGGCAGTCTGTGGGAGTCGGTTTTAAACTCACAACCTCAGGATCGGGACTTTTTGATTAACATGAAGCATCAAGAGGCAAACTTCCCAACCAGACTGACAATGGTGAGCAGATCCATGATTCGGTTTCTGGATATATTGGAAGATACATAAAACGAGGCTCCATAAGAAGACAAGCCCCAGAGCTGAAGCAGGTCAGACAGGGGAGGCTGCAGGACACAGAGAAAAAGGCTCCTCCTCCACTGAGAGCAAGTCTGTTCTCAGTGGAGGAGGAGCCTTTCCTGCCGTCCCTCTCCTGGCCTCAACAGCTGAACAGTTAGATGCTGATCTTACAGCATCAATTACAAATATCCACGTTGGTCTGGAGGGAGCTGCCATTCAATGGGCATAAACCCAGAGCTGAACACTAAATGGGTGATGTGTCTAAATCAGCAACATTGCTGCCCTCGATAGGAGGGAATGAGGAAGATCAACTATCCCTCTATCTCCCCTCTTTAAATAAAATATACACAATATACTTGTTATAAGAAACAATTAATAGAGAGAAAATTCCATAATAAATGATCAATTGATTTCAATCAAACAAGTAGGTTGTACAAAAATTTTACTTTTAAATTTTTGTCTTCAATATTTTAAAGTAACTAAAAGATGAGAAAAGCTTTTCACTGAAGATCATTAAGCTTCTGAGTTATTTAGAAAAACCTTTATCTGAATCTTTGATCATCTAATGAACAAAACTCAGAGAATCTTAGAAACTGATTAAATAAATTTTGTTGAATATCTTTCAAATGGTACTCGTACTCGTCGTCTCCCTCTTTATCCGGGACCGGGTCGCGGGGGCAGCAGACTAAGCAGACACTCCCAGACTTCCCTCTTCGCAGACACCTCCTCCAGCTCTGTTAGGGGAAGCCCTAGGCGCTCCCAGGCCAGCCGAGAGACATAGTCTCTCCTGCGTGTCCTGGGTCGTCCCCTGGGCCTCCTCCCAGTGGGACGTGCCTGGAAAACCTCCCGAGGGAGGGGTCCAGGGGGCATCTAACTCTCCCTATCTCTAAGGGAGAGCCCAGCCACCCTGCGGAGAAAGCTAATTTCAGCCGCTTGTACCCCGGATCTCGTTCTTTCAATCATGATCCAGATTTCATGACCATAGGTGAGGTTATGAATGTAGACCGACCGGTAAATTGAGAGCCTTGCCTTTTTGTTCAGCTCTCTCTTCACCACGACAGACCGGTGCAGCGTCCGCATTATTGCAGCAGCCGCACCGATCTGTCTATCGTTCTCCCGCTCCATTTTTCCCTCACTCGTTAACAGGACCCCAAGATACAGGGGCATTTAGCCCGACAACATAGCCTCTGGGATGAGCCAGAGGATCTGTCAAATGGTCAGATCCTAAAAACACATTTGATTATTTTATTCATGATCAGAGATTTCCAAAATATGAGATAAACATTGATTGAGCTGTAACTTCAATTTTTCCTGCTCTGATTCAGTATTAAGGTTAGATCTCTATCTTTGGTCCGGATTGATCCGTTTCTTTCTGTTCCTGTGAGCAATGACGCACCAGGCTCCACCTCTGCTCTGAAATCAGCCCTGTTCTCCTGCTGCAGGGTTATTTGCTTTAATAGAAAGTTTTAATCTGCATCATTTTTTGATTTTTTATTCAGATTGATTCGCTGCTGTTTGTCAGAGATCAGCTGGGCTTCTCTGGTCTCAGCTCTGAAGTCTAATCCATCCCATCTGACAGAACTGGTCCTGAGAGGACCCAGCCTGGACCCTGGAATGAAGGAGCTCAGTGGGTTTCTCCAATCTCCCCTCTGCAAACTACAGAGATTGATGTAAGATGTAGTATATTTGTTTATTCTAATAACATTACAGTGCAAATCCCAGTGTGAAGGTCATTCAGAGAGCTAGTAAAGGATCAACAGGCTGCTTATTCAGAATATGCTGCATGAACACATGTCCAACAACTGGGAGGAAAGTGAAAAAGGAAAAATTATCAGCGAAACTGTTAGATCAGATTTTTTAAATGCAGATGACTCAACAAATGCAGACAGATTTATTAAGTCTCTGCTCTCATACTGTGATGAGGATTTGGGTAAATTGCTAACTAAGCATCTGGCCTTCAGAAAGCACAATATTTCAGATGCAGTAACTGTCACACATTGAATAAAATTAATATAAACCTACAAAGAAAAATATTATAGGCTTTCATTTTATGATAAAGTTATAAACCATGAAAATAGCTGAAAAAGATTATTTTGAACATGTTAAAGACAAATGAGTTTTAAATCACTTCCTTGTTGTCTTCAGAATCTCAGTAGTGCAGTTTCTCCGTGTTCCCTTTAATTGATTATAACATTTTATTTCCAAGAACCTTCAGATCATCCAATAGATAAAAATTGTTCTGAAGAACATCATAAAAAGATCAACAACAGCAAATCATTAGAACTTGTATTGACTTGGATAGACATTAAAGTCAGAATTGAATGAAAGCATGAGGCTGTGTTTGGCCTCATATGTTCATAGGATTGATTTCTACTGAATGATGCAGGGAGCCAGTGGAGTTAATGAACAGCTGGAAAGTAGATGATGGAATGATTCTGCCATTTTAACTTTAATAGGGGCCCTCCTCTAAGTCAGTGACTCTTCAGCTTTTTGAGTCACGACCCCCCACCCCATGTCTGATTAATATACTTAGATATTGGAAATAATTACTATATAAATAATTGAACTTTATTGATCTCACAATGAAGACATTTACTCTCTGCATTAAACCCATCCCCTTGGGGAGCAGTAGCCTGCCATCCTGGGGTGCCCAGATAGCATTCAGGGATTAAGGGTCTTGTTCAGGGACCCAGAGTGGCAGTTTGTGGGAGTGGGTTTCAAACTCACAACCTCAGGTTTCAAAGCCCTATGCCCTCTCAGGGTTCCTTGTCATGAACCGAGGACAGATGGACCCAGTATTCAAGGAGAGATATCAGTAGGAAAGTTCAAAACATTTATTAACAACACAAAAACTAAAGTGGAGCTGTGGCTCACGGACACTGCAGGAGGGGGCGGGGCACTGCCAAATCTCAGACATTCTGCGGGAGAAACACAGGTAAGTGACCACGATCATCTGACAGAAGATGATTATCTGAGTTGGCCACTTACCTGGTTTAACAATCCAGTCCAAGAATGTCCCCAAGTGCTGCAGTCCCAGAGGACATGCTGGTGGCCGATCCTGGTCAGGGATCCAGAGCAGACAGGAACAGACAGAAACAGAATCCAGATCAGGCAGGAACAGAACAGGTGGCAGGATCCAGACTTCCAGGCATCCACAAGCTCCCAGGCGGGTTCAGAGTCTAACAGGATCCGAAAGCGTGACCAGGTGGTCACGCACAGGAACAGACAGAATCAGGTGCAGACGGGCAGGCTCAGTGGCACAGGGTAGCCGAGACAGTACGTGGAACCAGAATGTAATGCAGGACTTTAAACTGGTCTCCTCCCCGGAGCCAGGCTTACTTGGATAAAAGCTGAACCTCCCCACATATAGAACCCAGAGGACTCAGTGGGGAAGGAACAGTGGACGATCACGAGACGAAACAAACACAAAACCCTCTTCCCACTGGCCGACAGGATCCAAAACATGAACGAAGGAATCAAAATAACAGAGAGGCTAACAGAAAGACAATTAATGATCTGGCAATGCTCAGGCTTAACTGAAAATAAACCAAAGGAAACAGGTCAGAGGAATAAATGATAATTGAGGCAGGAAGGGAAAACAACATGTGAGAGAAATAAGCAATTAAGGGAGAGCAAACAGGCCAGATCATGACATTCCTGCAGATTTAATTCCATTTAATTGCCATTAATTCTTCAATATAAAATCAAGGCCTCAATTTGTATTAATATGTGTCATATAAGTCTTTCATAGACCTTAAAATTGTGACCACATCATAAATAGGATTTTATTTTTGTAATCCATATCAAAAATAAAATAATTGACAATATTTTTCTTACATTTACCGAACAGCTCGCTGTAACTATTATTGGTTCCGTCCCAATAGCAGAACCAATAAAAACGATGTGACCAGACCTTGGGGTGATGTGCCAGTATCTTTTTACCTGGACAAAATGGGGAACTTTTAGATTCAACGAAAAATAGGCTATCCATCCAAGAGTTTTCTGCATGGCTAAAACCACTGCCAGGGAATGTAGATGAAGCACGATGGGAATCAAAGCAGTGGAGACACATGTGTGAAGCGTAAACTCAAAACATCAAAATTAAGTTAAGTAACAGATATTTCTCCACTCTGTTCCACCCTTGTCTCTGCAATGCCTCTACAGCATCTCTCACATCAACAATATTGCCAGTAGAACCAAATCTCCGCATAATGTTTGGCGGTACGCTGACAATGAAAGTAGAGGGATTGAGAAGGGAACAAAACAAAGCTAGTGAATTTGGTTCATTAATTGTAACAAAGGGTGCTGCACTGATATCAGTATCGGGCGGGGCCCCGATCTAGCACTAAAATGGTGATATCAGCAATACTCAAGTTGAGGGGAGATGAGGGGGGGGGGGGGAGATGGGGTGGCATTCCCCCTTTTTAAAAAAATCTTCAAAATCATCCCCCTTCTTAAATGACCATCCCCCATAACATTCCCTGTGACATTTCATCACTGAATGTGTAAATTTCTATTATATATTAACAGTAATGGCAATAATATTGACCTTTCAACATTTGACAGGTTACGCTTACGATTAGCGCAAACCCTGCGCTGTCCTGTACAGCATCAGATCCGAGCGGCAAAGACAACGCGATTTGAGGGAATGTGAAAAGAAGGAGGGGAGGGAATCTTCTGCAGGTTCTAAGTTTAACAAATAAAGGGTCAGAAATTATCTACAACGGTGTCCACTAAAACTATACATTTTATTCCATCCATGTATAAGAAATATGAAAACATTAAGAATATATTTAAAATTTCCCTTTACATTCATATTTCAATCCTTTTTTCATCAATGGGCGTGACTTTAGGGCGATGTGCGCTCCCAGGAAAGGGGAGGTGATTCTGCACACAACAGATGAAACCCGCAGGAGAGAGTCGAAGCAGGGGCAGATTTAGGAAATTTGGGGCCCTAGGCAAAGACAGACTTGGGGCCCTTGGAATTGAGAAGACAACTCTTAATACAGACCCCTTATAGAGATACAGAAATTTTAATAGAATAGACAAACATTTCCTTAATTTTGACTGCCCTTAATGATGTTTTATAGTTTATATTATGTATAGGGAAAATAACAATTCAAAATACCTTCAATCACATTTGTGAGAGTCAAAGTGCATTTTGAGATATTTCAAATGATGTCATCTGATTTGTCATTTAAAGTGTCCTGAATATAATCAAGATATTCCAGTTAATCTGAACTGGTCAAAGCTATTTTTTTAATATCCCAATTATGAAATATCCCCCTAGTGCTGTCACTGAGCTGTCCTAACAGAATTCTGCATGGCTGCATGGTGCTTGTTCTTGAAAAAGCTGGTTCAACATGCCACAATATAGGAAGAACTCAGCAGTATAGAATGTGCATAGAATAATAATACTCTGAACTCTAAGACCCATTTCAATTTAATTATAAGTTTTTTTATTTATTTAAATACTTTTTTTGTCAAAATGTAGAATTTTACTTCAATAGCTTCTCTTCTCTGCTCCTCTCATCCCTTCACCATTGTTGCTAACTCCCCAGCAAGAAAGGCTGCTATTGGTTGTCCTAAAAGGCGCTGTAAAGTGTTAGGTAATGCCTGTCGTCCAGTCAATGGTAAATATAGTTCGATTGACCTGTTAAAAATAGTTTTAACTCATTCATTGCCAGCATGTAGCCTAGCTTACTATAAATTAGTCAGTAGAAGCTAAACTGGTTTTCTGATACACAGTCTTTTTTATAAAATCAATACTGAATATTTGAAATGTGAGTAAACTTAATATCTTTTATACAGGCTAATTTTATTTTCAGGCTAATCCTAATGCATTTTGATTTGTTAGCATTTTTTCAGCTTTTGAAAACTATTTCAGCTGTTTCAATTTAATTAATTGCATTTGAATAGAAAATACTTGACTCGAACGGTTTCAGATATTAATTTGCAGTGTTTTATGAGGTTTTGTTCCAAATCTTAATAGATTTTTTTTCCAAAAGATTCTCCAAAGAAAATAAAAAAAGGTTCCAACCATGACTATGAAACTGATCCCAGTGGGAAATTAGTCCCTCACTATGTCGGGACAGTGATAACCAAGGTAACTCTAGGAGCAGTGATAGCCATGCTGACTGTGTAGGAGCAGTCATAGCCATGATAACTATGTAGGAGCAGTGATAGCCATACTATGTAGGAGCATTGATAGTTATGCAAACTATGTAGGAGCAGTCATAGCCATGATAACTATGTAGGAGCAGTGATAGCCATACTATGTAGGAGCATTGATAGTT